GAGCCCTGCCGCGGCTCACGACCTGTCCTCCGGCCAGAGCTCGGCGTTCACGCCGCAGGGCTCGGGCTACGCCAACGCCCTGGGCCACCACCACCACCACCACCATCACCACCACCACCACGCCGGCCAGATGCCCAGCTACGGCGGCGCTGCCTCGGCCGCCTTCAACTCCACGCGCGAGTTTCTGTTCCGTCAGCGCGGCTCCGGGCTCGGCGAGGCGGCCTCGGGCGGCGGGCAGCACGGGCTCTTTGCCGGCTCGGCCGGCAGCCTGCACGCGCCCGCGGGCATCCCCGAGCCCCCCGGCTACCTACTCTTCCCGGGGCTGCACGAGCAGGGCGCCGGGCACCCGTCGCCCACCGGGCACGTCGACAACAACCAGGTCCACCTGGGGCTGCGCGGGGAGCTGTTCGGTCGGGCTGATCCGTACCGCCCGGTGGCCAGCCCGCGCACGGACCCTTATGCGGCGGGCGCGCAGTTCGCCAACTACAGCCCCATGAACATGAACATGGGCATGAACGTGGCGGCCCACCACGGGCCCGGCGCCTTCTTCCGTTACATGCGGCAGCCCATCAAGCAGGAGCTGTCCTGCAAGTGGATCGACGAGGCGCAGCTCAGCCGGCCCAAGAAGAGCTGTGAGCGGACCTTCAGCACCATGCACGAGCTGGTGACACACGTCACCATGGAGCATGTGGGGGGCCCGGAGCAGAACAACCACGTCTGCTACTGGGAGGAGTGCCCCCGCGAGGGCAAGTCCTTCAAGGCGAAGTACAAACTGGTCAACCACATCCGCGTGCACACCGGGGAGAAGCCCTTCCCGTGCCCCTTCCCGGGTTGCGGGAAGATCTTCGCCCGCTCGGAGAACCTCAAGATCCACAAGAGGACCCACACAGGTAAGGGCGGCAGGCCGGCGGACTTGAGGGCACCCCCGCCCGCCCTGAGCTGCCTGCCGACCGCGGAAGAGAGGGGCGACACCACCCGGGCCCTTCGGGGAGAGGCGCGCTGTCAGCGCCCTGCTGCCCTGGTCCTACCCACCCCGCGGCGCTTTTGCTCGCTCCTAGCTTCCCTGGCGGATGGCTCAGCCGTCGCCTAGGCATAATTGGGGAGCCTCCTCGCGCCCAGGAAGCGACTGGCGCCGCCTCTTTTTGTCTCCCTTCTCTGGGTTACTTTGAAGGGACTCCGAATATGTTGAGAGCGTATTGCTTACAAGCGACTTCACTCTCCGCACACATTCGAGGAAGGCCACCATAGAAATGCAAATGAAAACGAACTTTCGGTTACTTCCGCTCTTTTTTACATTTGATTGGCACATCTCCTAATTAAATGACTGCTACTTTTGTCAAAGTATTTTTATTTGGAGTTCCAGGTTCAATTCAGTCCTCCAGGAGGAAAGCTAAACTAGAGAAGGCACCACAGTTGTGTGCCTTGTTCGGAAGCGCTTGTAAAACTGTCTGAAGCCCCTGGATTTATACAGTTTTCAATTTCCGAACACGAAGTACGACGACCCAGGCCTTTTAACGCTGGGCTCACTTAAAGGAAAAGGCCCGCATTTAAAAGAAGCACATTGAAAGGTACAAAAGAGGGGGCTGGACGCGATTGTCCTGTCGCAGGCCCATTGTCCTGACAGAGCTGGGGTACCTCGCCCAGGTGGCCATGGGCTGGGGCAGCGCTGAGGGAGCCCTGGGCCGGGTGGGGAGAGCCACAACTTCGGGGAAACTTCGGAGGAGCCCGAGTCGGGGAGAACAAAGAGTCGGTCAGGTTCTGGGCCGGCCCTGCCCCCACTTCGGGCCCCCGCCCCCCGCCCCCGCCCCAATCTCCAGCCCAGAAGCGCATCCAGCGTTCACCCTTTTTCTCCCGGGAAGAGCTGCTGCAGCCGCCCCCAGTTGGCGCTCCCTGCCCTGGAAGATGGCGGGGTGCGCCGGCCCTGACCCCACCACCCCTCCCCACTTTTCATTCGGCCCCTTTGCAGGTGAGAAGCCCTTCAAATGTGAATTTGAAGGCTGCGACCGACGCTTCGCCAACAGCAGCGACCGCAAGAAGCACATGCATGTGCACACCTCGGACAAGCCCTACATCTGCAAAGTGTGCGACAAGTCTTACACGCACCCGAGCTCTCTGCGCAAACACATGAAGGTAATTACCTCTTTATTAGCGGTCGGCGGTTTATAAACTCGGTCTAGCCCGGGACTCGGCCGCGGAGCGGAAGCGTCCGCGCTGCCAGCCCTCTGTCCTCCACGTGAAATCCGATTTGCTCCAGCGGTGACACCGTGAACCCATTTTGGAAACGGGGGGCGGGGGGCGGAGAGCGGGGAGGGAAGCGGAGGGATCAATAGGTGGTTCACGGGGAAGCTCTAGCGGAGCTCGCCAAGCTCAGGCTTCGGTGGCCACAGCCTCCTGGCTGAGCCCGCGATGAGAACTAACGCAGAGGGACCGCGCCGACCTTTTGCGGGATGGGTGGGTTGTTCGCTCATGGGCTTCAGATAAAACAATAGAGCCAGAGCCCAGGAGAGCGGTCTGGGTCTCTCAGGCTTGTCGGACTTCCCCACGCCTGGGAGCCCCTGTACCACTCTTGTTTGTACCCACTTTCCCAAGCCCAAAATGTTTTGGTGAAAGCTGGGCCCGGAGTATCTGATCGGGCCCAGAGAGCCACTGCATTAGCCACTCCATTCGCTGAGAGAGCAGTCTTTTCAGGGAGGGTAATAAAACGGAGGATGTTGGATTATTTTTCCTTTTGCGTAATGCCAGTCTTAGGACTACAACTGTTTGGTTGGTGAACATCTCTTGGCCTTTCTAGACATCGGTAATATGACGATTAAAAAATATAACAAACACCAGCATTTCTCTTTGAAGTGGGTCACTGGGCGGTCTTGGGTCTTGCCTCTTACAGGGCGTGAATTTTGCTGTTTTGCTTGCACGTTGCCGGTTGGAATTATATTCATTATAATATATACATGTTAATTTTAGGTTCATGAATCTCAAGGGTCAGATTCCTCCCCTGCTGCCAGTTCAGGCTATGAATCTTCCACTCCACCCGCTATAGCTTCTGCAAACAGTAAAGATACCACTAAAACCCCTTCTGCAGTTCAAACTAGCAGCAGCCACAACCCTGGACTTCCTCCCAATTTTAACGAATGGTACGTCTGAGGACACACACAACCCCTGTTCTCCATAGAACGGACCAAATGCAGTTTAAAAAGAAAACAGACCAATCAGATGGAAATGGAATTTTAAGGCCAGCAGCCATATATAGGGCTACATCTTGTTAATTGCAATTATCCAGGAAGGTTTGGGGCAAGAGCCAAACGTAACCATGCCCTTTTCTCAGGATTAGAAAATAATGTTTTGGCATTTGAAGGATTTTTTTTTTAATCTTTAACTGCTTCCCCCCCTCCCTGCTCTCCACCCACCCCATCCCTAACCTCCTTTAATTAGTTTGAACACTTGTCCTGTTTCTTGAGAGAGGTTTGGTGGTGGTAATGTTAAACTGATGGAAAATCTTCTTCGCCTTAGTGGTGATTGTTTAAACTCTCACAGTCTTAAACTGTACCAAAGTCCTGTTATGTCTTGAACTTTTTCTCAAAGCATTACACTTGTGAATGTATTTTCTGTCTAATGGGGTCGAAACTGTTGTTCAGTATTTTTTCAGGCTGAGGGTGTGTTGTTACTCTACACAGATTGTGACGTTTAGTATGCAGTTGCCTTTTGTAACAACTTTTTTCTTGTAAATACATATCCATTGATGCCATATTTATCGTTTGTAATTTAATTATTGCTACAAGTGCCGGGAACTGAACAATATTTATGGAGAAATGTTTTCTAACAAAGTCTGTACAGCTTTTGATTATAACTGCTTTAGCATTAAAATTTTATTGTTTTGAAAGAACACAATTTACAAGTTTTGAAACACTGACTCCTTTTCACTTGTTTTGTAACAGCCTCCTACACAGGAGATTCGAGCAAATTAAGTCTTGTTTCATGGTATTTATACTTCACTCAGATCCCTTTTTTAATTGTTAAATTATTTTTCTATTGCAGTCTAGATTCTTTACTGTGTCAGTTTCCACCTGGGAAGACCCTCCTTTCTTTATCTCTAGCTAAGATGGTTGTTTAATTGGGAGCTTAAATGTGTTTGTCCTGGATTTTCGGCATGCAAATCAAATATTACTGATCAATTCAGTTAGTGGCCAAGACATCTCAATCTTGTACTTCAAAGACTGAGAAGCTGGATTTAATCATCCCTGCCCTACATTTGTAAACATAAGGTAACCTAATGAGTCGTATGTCCCTTAGTTCTTTATTACCTTACATAAAAATGAACATTGTGGCAGGATGCATGTATGTCTGTTCTATCTAGAGATCACCCATATACCTATATATGTTTGTATCTATGACTTATCTACTCTAATCTGCATATCAAGTCTATCTAGCTATCTATATATTTCCCAAAGATAGCATATGTCTGGAACAGTGGCAACAAGTAAGGCCAGTTGAGCAGTGCTTGCTTACAGTTAAAGTGCTTCTTAAAAGAACCATAGTCCATTTACAGTTTTCATAAGCAAAGCCTGATTTGTTTTGCTGTACATAGTTCGTAATTCTCGCAACATTTACATAGCGGTGGGATAACTGCAGCGGTTTTGAAATGAAACTATGGAAAGAAACATTTGCAAAATATGTATTTTCAAAGTTCATGGTTTGTAGGCCAAATTGTTAACATTGTTTCCATTAAAATCGATAACAATGAAACATGGTTGTTTGCTTTGTGATAAAATATTAATCTTTTTTCAGTGAAGCAACTCATTTGAATAAACAGTTCTTTTACAATGGAAATTTCAAAAAGAACGGAATAGATTTGCTATTTTGGGTGGTTGGAGTGGATAGAGGGTGAGAGATCTTTTTTATTAATTAATTTAGGGTGCTGTTTAATATTGGGAGCCCAATCTCTGCATGATAATGAGTTTGCAGGTCAGCAAAAATAGAAAGGGGGAGATAAGGAGTTATAAGTATTTTAAAATGTAATGAATAGATTTAAGCACCTCTTTCAAGGGGCAAGGCTCTCAGTATTTGGGTGATGGTCACTTTTGACATTTTAAATTACAGAACTCTGTTCACTGCTCTTTTCTAAAGAAATAAAAAGTCTTGGCAAATTTTTATTTCGACCGTAATATTGAATTCGTTGCCCTTTGGGTTTGGGTTTTGTTTGTTTTTCATGTTAAAATCACTGAACCATAAATTTAAATGCTCAGAACTTCTGCTGTTTAAAGGAAAGCCCAAGTCCCTGGATACAGTTGAAGCGATCTTTTTTTTTTTAAGTTATCTCCTGATCTGTGTCAACAAATGAATTCTTGACGGTTTTTGGGGAGGCAACTTTGTGGGAAAGGGGAGCGTTTGCACTTTCCTCCACCAGTAGCCAAGGTGTGGGCCAGGAGGAGACCTCCAGAGGCCTACAAGTGTGAGGAGCAGGTCACCTGGTCTGTCTGCTCCTCCCATTCCCAACATTCCAATCTTGACCTTGACACTGAATTAAGACCAGATCCCCAGTTTTGGGTGTGCCTTCCCTTCAAACCAGAGGCCATTTTTAATGTCCAGCGAGTTTTCAGAAAGTGCCTATTGCTACGATTGGCTGGAGCCAAGTTCCATTGTGAAAATGGAAGTGTATCCCCCGCCCCCCAAGACATGTAGTGACCTTCTAGAGAGGCCAGGAGTCACCCACCCACCTGAACTAACCTTAAATGGGAGTGCCGTGATGGGACTAGTTATAAGATTATTCCCTCAAACGTTCCCTCGTTTTGATCTTTCCTTAGGAGCTTGAAATTCGCAAACCATTTTGTGTCCTAAAATCATGCTAATAGCAATGACAACAAACATTAAGATAATATCAAACAATATTCCTAATTTGGAGGCAATATTTGTTTCCTCTTAAATATACTGTGTTCTCTGTCCATGTCATCTCTGGCAAAAGAAACGATTCTGCTAGAAAACTTGAGATTTTCTGTTGCTGCTAATTTACCTCTGGCGACGCACATTTACAATATTGAATTAGCCGTAAAATAACGTAGACTAAGAAGCGTCTCCTCCCCCAAGAAAACCAACACCCCCAAACAAAAAAACCTGCCCACAAACTCAACCATCCCTATAAAGAATGACCAGATTAAACAGCCACGAAGTCAGCGCGCACACTCAGTTAGGCATAGACTTAGCTATTTTCCATCTGCACCTGGCAAGATTTTGTTAAAAAGAAGTCCCTGTCCTATACTTTTAGGATGTGTGGTTTAACACTGTTGGGTGGGGATGAAGGGGAGGTGTGTATTTCCCAAACTTGGGCCATGCTTCACCCACCAAGGAAGATGAGAGGCCAGGCAGCCAGGCTTTGGTACTGAGGAGGTTGGAGGACCTTGGAGCCAGGCTCTTGGCCCAGTCTCCAGGAGAGTTGGCTAGTTCTGGACTTCCTCGCCTCTCCCCCTTTCTGCTTTCTCACTGCCTGGTGTCCTCGCCTTTAGCCCCAGGGACCCTCCAAACCCCGGACCCCCACCAAAATGCTACAAACGGAGAAGGGCTAATCTAATCGGCCCTGGCCACGTAAGTTTCCGATCGCCTGGCCCCTGGCGTGCCCACCTCCCTCCTCAGGACAGGCTGGGCGCCTGACGGGTGTGGGGCTGTGGATAGGTGATGGCTGGCTCTCCAGTTTTAAACCCCAGAGGCCCAAGTTGGGCTTTGCCCCGGGAGAGACCAGGTTTCAGGCGGTGGGCCTCCGGCTCAGCGCCCTCGGGCGCACAGGAGCGCCTTCCGGGACACCCAGGCTTGGCGACTGGGGCAGGGAGCGGCCGGCTTCCGAGGCAGGATCCCGGTCCGCTGACCCTTTGACCTCCGCCTCTAGGGCCGCGGTCGGGCGCCTAGGACGCTTCGCGCCCCATCGCCTCCGGCCTCATTAGGCCGGCGGGGTGGCCGAGCCGAAAGCCGCCGCTGCCTAATCCGGAGCCCGGGTCAGTGCGCGCCCAAACAATGGTGAGCTGCGAAGGCCGCTGCGCCGCGCCGGCCCCAAACTTTGTTCCCGGGATTTCCCCGCCGCAATGTGGGGGCTGAGTCCACGGCCTGAAAGGGGGGCCGGCTGGGCCGCCCCCGGTCAGGAAGGGGTTTTGAAGTGGGCTTGAGCACGCACGTGCGAGCGCCGGGCCGCGCAGGGCCTGCGTGGGACCCCGCTAGGCGGAGAGGGCGCTGGGGCCAGGCCCTGACCCCGGCGCTGCGGGCTAAGGTCTCCCCGCCGGGGCCCGCCCCCCCTCGGTCTGCAGCGCGCAAGCGCACAGCCCAGTGCCGTCGGGGCGGCATCCAGAGCCAGGGTTGGGGGTCGAGTTGAAAGCGGTTTTGCAGCGGGAAGGGCAGGGGGGGGGCGAGGGCGAAGAAGGGGGGGAGGTTGGGGGCAGCTCTGGAGTGGCGAACGTGGCGGCCGGATGCGAACCCCCGCTGAGCACCCACCGGTCGGGCTGGGCCCCGGCCAGGGGGGGGGCGGGGAGGGGAGGAGGGACTGGGGGTCGGCGCCGCTAAGCGCAGAACTGTTAAGAAAGGGGAGTCCAGTAGTTCTCCCAGGGCTTTCTGCGCTGGGGAATTTGGCCGCTAGATCCCAGGGGACTTGGGCCTCAAAAGTTCCAGAGGCAAACCCCACCTGCCGGGCCGAAAACTTGGCCTTTTGGATTTATCTTGCCCTACCTGAATCGGGAATCCTCCACATCTTCCAGTCCCCAAAGGTGCCCAGACTGGATCTTCCAGGAGCATAGCGGGTCCCGTGAGAAGGGCGGCTTGCCCGTGGCAGGTGTGCCCCAGGTCCCATCTTCTGCATATCTCATTTAAACGGGAGTCTCGGAGGATAGGCACTACTGTGCCTTTCGCGTGGGCCAGGACAACAGCTGGTGGCCCTACATTAAGGAGGGGGGGGGAGAATGGAAAAACCCCACAGGCGGGAAAATTTCATTCCGTTTTAGCTTCACTGCTTTCATGCTGGCTGGCGAGTGAAAGAATCCGGGTAGTTGTCGGTGCCCAAGCTCTCGGATTTGCTCCACCGAAAACTGTTGTGGAGACAGACACCTTCCGATGGGTCTGGTGAGGGGGGTGGGGTGGGCATGTGAGACAAAAATGGGAAAGTGTCCTTTCTGACCCCAGCACCTCTAGGCAAAGAAGAGACAAGAACTGTTTCATGTTGTGCCCTTGTGGAGGCCAACAGCCAAATGCAAAGCCAGCCCTTGGAGCCTGACCAGGGTCAGGCATTTAGGCTTCCGGAGGTGCAGGGAATTGCCAAGGGCCACCTCAGGAAGGGGCCCCCAGGTGGGTGGGCAGCTCATTAGCATGGCTGACCCAGATCTGGGGTGGGGTAGGGCCATCCGCAGAACAGAGGCTTTTTCTGAAGAGAACAATGGAGATTGTCTTTCCTCCTTTACATTGCACAAAGAAGATGGCTATGGAGCAAGAATTTGGAATATGCATTTAAGTTGTGGTGCTTTGCATTGGAAACCCCTGACAATTAAAAGAAACCTGCCTAGTACTATTTTAGGTCCTTTTCTTATGTGAGATTTCAGCAAGTCAAAGGGGCGGGCGCCTCTTTAGCCCTTTGGAAACTTGTTTTGAAATTGCCACCTAACAGATCCTGCCCACCCCCACCCCACCCCCACTTTTTCCTGTGAATGAAGTTTCCTTCCCAGGGTCAGCCCCTGGCCCCACCCCCTCAACTGGAATAGTGTATTGACATCTCAGAGAGATCAAAGACTCTTAGATGACGCTTGCTATATATTTTATTATATTTTTCTTGTATAGGTTGAACCCTGAAGTTTGAGCATTTTCCTGAGGAAATGTCTTGGTACTCCAAGTGTGGGGAAAGAAAATGGATTCATTTTACATAGCTTTAGTGGCTTTAGCCGGTGATGATGAGGCAGTTTCATGGGGCTTGTCTCTTTAAGAGCGCCAGAGCTCTGATCATCTCCAAATTGACTTTCAAGCCAGCTAAAAATGCCTTGGCTAACTGCCTCCCCTGGATACCTGCGGTGTTCTTTGGGTCACTTTATCTGTGCAAACTCTGGTTGATTTTCCTGGGCGTTATGGGAATGGAATTTCCACAAAACTGGCCAAGTGATAAATCGGGAAGCCTCGGATTTGTTCGGCTGCCTGCTGGAAAGGGTACTGCTTCCCCCACAGGTTTGGTTTCTACCGTAACCATTGAAAGGTACAGTTTGAAAAACAAGTTTGCAGGAAGCATTTCAAGAGTGCAGGGGTCAGAGGACTTGAAGAAATGGTAACTTTTCACACAGGAGCAAAACTGCTTTCTGAATAACCTTAGAGAAACCCCAGTTTCCACAAATCTGATCCAACTGAAGAATGAATCTTCCTTTCAAAGCATCTAACAAATCAAACGTTTCTCTTGTTTTAATCTGATGGCAGTTTAATTTATGAATAGAGAAATCCGAGTTCGACAATATCTGTAAAAACAGCCTCCACCGGATAGCATACTTACAGTGTATCTTATCTAATACTTACATCTTACCTAATACATACTTACAGTGTATGTTACCTAATGTGTTGTATAAAAATATAACCACTGTAAAGGCCATTTGCGCGGAAGTTGTGCAAAAGGGATCTCGTGTTTTATTGTCAAACAAAATAGCCATGTAGCATGTTATGAAACCTTGCTAAGAGTGCTTGTGGCCTTTTTTTTTGACCTATCTGCAGTTCACTTTTTGTTTTTTTGCCAGTGTTGTCCTGCTTGGTATCCGGGACAGCCTCTTATTCCTGACGAAGAACTTGATACTGACGTTGGTATGCAGCAGCCAGCCCTCCATAACACTACCTATCCTAAATGCAGGGCTAATGCCGAACCTACTGTGCAAGAAATGATTTACTGATGAGGTTTCAAAGAAAACCACATCAATTTGGATGTATGTTACCTTGAAGTAATCATTTTAAAAGTAGTAGCTTCTTCCCTAGGTATAAAAGAGAGAGAGAGCCCGCGCGAGAGAGAACTATTTTCTTCTTTTGGTGTATTTTATCTTGTGTTGAGCAATCATATGTGAATGAAAAAACAGAAAAGCTATTCCCCACCCCCAATTTAGGATTGATAAATGGGAAGATGGAGGTTAAGACTGGCCTATTCCTAACCCAGTATGTATTATCTGTGTATTGTGCTGACCTTGTTGAAAATAGTTTCCACCTATCTACATTCCACAGGTAGAACTAGAATGTTTAAAATCAGAAACATGTTGTTGGTTTTGTCTTGATAGCTTCATGTGCTTGTGTTCAGAAAGCAATACCCAGAATCCCTAGTATCGCTGTTTGATTTAAATAAAACCATTTAAATTATTTTTGTGATTATTGCTTTATTACAGTCACAACTCTAGCCCCGAAATATCCTGGTTTAACCTGTTGAATTTAAATGATTTGTATTCTGTTCACCTTTTTTATGGTATAGCTAGGTTTTCACTGAGCAATAAACTTGAGAAAACAACCCCCTGAATCAACTGTTTCGCTCCAGGCTGTCCCGGAGGGGCTCAGGGCCAGGTGCCGGGGAGGTCAGGGGGAGAATTCAGAGTCCAGGACTGGCTTGATGAGACATTAAGAGTGGAGGCTGGGGTTGGGGGGGGGATGAGCTCATCTGAACACCACTATTTGAATGAGAAAGAGAGGGAAAGACAAAGCTGAACATAACCTTAAAGGTTTAAAGACTTCTCTATGGAACGGGAGAGGGGACATTTCAACATATGCATCACATGCATATTATTCAGAAGCATCTAAGTGGTCCTCAGAACAGACAACTTGGCAACCATTGATTAGCACACTTAGAGAATCATGGAATATAGGTGTTATTAAAACACAAGTTGTCTTTAATTAACTGTAGTGTTAGAGAAGATGAAGACACTTCAGAAAAATTCATAGAATTCCGGATACTTGATTTCTCATTTTAAATTTAACATCCGTAATCTAATGTAATCTGTGAATGGCCATCATTCTATTTATTTGGCATGATTATGCCATGATGAGGTATTGTAAAAGTGCAGCCTGAGAGAAAGTACTGCTTTGGGTTCTTTAGATCCAGTTTTATTTTAAACTGTGGTGAGTAGACTGATGATTCTGGAATTTGTAAGTACAGGGGAAACTATCAGCTCCCTCTGATTCTTGTGGTTCATTTACATTAAGAGTTATCAGATTCTGGACCAGTCAAGGAATGCTATGTATCTTTGATTCTCAGCCTCGCTATCATTTGCCATTAATATCCTTGGCAACAATGTTGGTGGGGATTTTTTCTCTCTTTGCATTTTTGTTTTTAAGAACAAGGGCTGTGTTCTTTCAGACAGGCAGTGGAGTATTCCGTGGGGTTGCTGTAAAAGCCGTGGAAAGGTAAACTACAGAGTTGTGCATGCGCCAGTCGCACTGTGGTAATAGTACCTCCTACAGTTGTGCTAAGGGTTAAGCAAGAACATGCCCACAAAGACCTGGCACAGAGTTGGTCCTGAACAAATGTTCCCTTCTGGTCTTCCGGCAGGTCGTTATTGTTTGGTTGTTTTCTATTTTTAATATTAGCAAATCTTTCACACACAAAAATGTAGTGGTGTGGACTACGGTTCAAATTAATATAGTTTCCAGAAAATAGATGGAGACTCGGGCATCTAAGAAATACTGCATTTCATAAGCATAATCACTAGATCTGGCATGTGGGTTTATGAACAGAGCTATGAATATTTAAACACATAAAATTAAAATGATATTAAATGCCTGTTATTCATTATCTTCCAATGAATACACTCAGATAAAAATAAGTTGTGTACTTAACATCTGTAAACATGGTAATTTAATGGCTGACTTTTAATTGGATAGACTGTACTGTAGTCAATAGCTTGGTTCCTAAATTACATTACAATTCAATGACAATGCCATAATGTGAAAATTGGCTTTCACATGTAACAAAAAGATTAAATCTTATGTTTCTTAAATTATTCAGTTTCCCCTTTCCAAATTTATGTTAGTATTATGCGGGTGTGATTACAGAGTTATGGGACTGGTTTTTCTGTGTGGTTTGGAGGCTGGCCCTGAGAGCAGTTCCCAAAGAGGAGTCCCCAAAATGTTTTGACCAATGTCAGCATCCTTACACTAAGTTTATGGACTGTGAAGGCGAGGGCTTCATTTAAGATTCAAAAAGCAGAACAAATAGCAGCCACCAGTCTTATTACTTTACAGCCATACTTTTGGTCTTTTGGTTTTATTATGTTTTAAAAGGGTGCAGTGATTATTTTCTGTTAATAAAATTGAGGCTGGACCGAAAAAGAATGTAGAAACGCTCTCCTACCACAATAAAAAGTCTTTTCCTCCTAATTGTAGGTCTATTTATGCTGTGGTAAGGTAAAACAAGAACACCAGCACACTTAAGATTTTCTCAAATGAACTGTCTGACCAGGAAATGTTTCTTTTCTTCTCCCTGATTTGGAGGACTGAGGACTTCCCCTGGAGGTGGTGCTATTGAATGATAAGGGCTTTTGCTCAGAGACCTGGAGGACCTCTCATTATTTCTTCCCTAGTTTATCACCGTTGTGTAACTCGTTTATCATCATTGTCTATCGTTTCCTCCTTGACCCTCCTCTATGTACTCTGCCTTGTTAGATTTGGAGCTAAACCCTGTAAAACTTAGCTTGCGTGTTGGTTGGTTGTGACCCAGTAAGAGCATAGTTCTATTAAATAGCCAATTTCAAAAATAAATAAATAGCCAATTTCAAAAGGACTGTCTCCCTGTCCTGAGCTGTGCCCCGGTTCCATCCAGGGTTAGATGGTCCTACAAGTGAGATGACTACAGAGTGGGAAGGGTCAAGACAACCAGCACAGTCTACTCTCATATGTTCCCTTAGGAAAGAAGTCTGTGTGTGTGTGTGTGTGTGTGTGTGTGTAAGTTCATTGGTGAAATAAGGAATGCCTTATTGCCAACAATTCTCACTGAGAAATGTCCTGGCATTAACAAGCAGAGATGATATGGGGGAACAACCAAAAAATACATTTTTACTATCTTAACAAATCCAGTGCCTATAAATGATTTACAAATCATTATATGTAGCCATTTTTTACATGGAAAAACTGCACTCGTATAATATTTTTGCAGCTCAACATCCAACACAATAAGTGACTGGCTAGCTGATAGGATTTCTTGGAGACTTTCCCATCCATAGGTATGATATCTTATTGGCTGCAGTTGGTAACCCCAAACAGAAGGGATTTCCTTCCCTCCATCCACTGACATTTTAAATGAAGACGTTCAGTTGAGCTACATCAGTGATTTCAATGGACTCATCACTCGCCGGTATGTAGCAGGCCATCATGTTTCACTTTGCTAACAAGCTGATAACCCACAGCTCATGCCAACAACTCTGGTCCTTCCAACAAATGACACGTTGGATAAAGAAATCTTGACACCATCATTATGCACTTCAGCTGTTCCATCAGGCATCCCTTCCTGGATCATTTGTGAACCTTCCGTGATTGTTGAGCCTACTTTGCTGGTATCTCAGAGATGTGAGGTGAAGCTTCTGCCATGGAATGGCATTATGCAGTTGGACACAATGCAACACCATCTTTATGTTCAAGATCCTAGATTTAATCTTGCAAACGAGACTGCAGGGAAGCAGTCTCCCAAGTCTTTCTCTAATAAGAGGACAGTGTTGTGAAAGACGTTGAGTGGGAGAAAAGAACAAATCACTAGGTTAGGGGAAACATGGAGGGCACCTTTCTGCTGGTTGTCTTTGCCAAGGGGACTTGAAACTTCACATCACGTTTACAGTGTTGGAAAGCTTTCGTGCTTTAAGGCTTCTCTCTGTCTCTCCAAAATGGCAACTCATGATGACAACAGTGGTTAGAAATGTATGCAACTCATTCTTGACCGCATCAATGGGCTCAAGCATGACAGCAATTGTAAGGACTGAGCAGTGTTTCCCTCGGGTGTGCGTGGGTCATTACGAGTTGGAACCAACAATAGCTGATCGGCCTGATTTGTGTATGTGCATCAAATTGAGGAAGTCTTAGTCTCTACTTTGCATGTTTCTAGATTGCATGCATCTGGCGCCATTAGATTCCATATAAGTGCATATTGACTAGCTGCAGAATGCAGCTATGTGAACACTGAAGTTACCCCAGGGCTGTGATTCAGTGTCGTCATTTTGAATAAGTGAACAGTTAGGATGTAGTGCTTAAGAATCTGCGCACAGGACAATAACTATTTCTTCCATTTAAAAGCAAAAACCCAAGATATTTTAAAGTTCATAAATAAACCACTAGGATTTCTATAGAGCAAATATTAAGAAAATAAATTGATAGAAGTGAATGAATCCAAACTCTTGATACACAATATTTTTTAAATCAAATTTTCTATGCTTGCTTCTTTTAAGTGATATAAATTGAGTATTCACATACAGAGTGAATATGTTAATTACAATAAAATCATTCTGGAAAGGTAATCATGCATTTGTTTTTAATTTGCACTCATATCTTTAAGTGTATAGTCTCAGGCATTTTTGCTTGTTTTTTTGAGAAGAAGAAGCATTGATCCTGTAGCTTGCCCATATGGAAACATATTTGGTACATATGTGGTGGTCAATGAAGGACCCATGACTTGTGTGCACACAAGGTAAAATAGATGCTAAAACCCATTTCTTCCATGCTCAAAAAAGGACTGCAATTGCTGCGCTGAATGTACATTGAATGATTGGAATAGTTATGCCTGAGTTTTGCAATGTATTGTCTAAAGTGAAAGAAGGGAGGGACCTCCTTGCGCCTCAAATTGAGCTTTGGCCTCAAGCTTGTGTTCTGTTTAGCTCCCTCGTCCTGCCCCCCTACTTTTTCCCTGGTATCACGATGGGCTTTTCCAAACCTTCTTAAACAGTTAAATTCAAAGCACAATCTGTCAGCATTCCAGGAACTTCTCTAGTTTACCCTTTGAAGAATGTTCTCGGGCAAGGCTGTCATGCTGGCCCTCCTTGGTTTCATTAGGCATTCTAAGACTCAGAGGGTGGCTGTAGCTAATTGAAGCCAAACTTCAGTCATTTCAGAAAACATCCAATATTAATCTTGAAGTTATTGTGTCTATTTAAACGGCTTGTTTCATTAAATCCACCGGGTGTCCTGGCATCAGACTGTGTTCATCCAGACAATTCAGAAGGGAGTTGTGCACCTACTCTGTGCCAAGACAATGTCCACCAGTAAATAAATGTTGAATGAATAAATCAAAGGTAGTTTTCACTGAATCGACTGCAAAACTTAAGTGCCATTTTCTT